CATATTTCTCTTTGGGTCGGTGCCCTGGTATGACTCTGCCTGAAAGCATAGTTTTCTGTTTTTTTCTAATGTGCTAAACAAGAAAACACACTCAGATCTCCCAGATCTCTGGGAAGATCTACTGTAATTATTACAGTTCTGGCCCATCTTTGGAAGCCATAGTGGGTCAGGAGAGCTACTGAGGGGCAGGGGAACACACTCCAGCATCGCCCAGCCTTGGGAGGGAAGGCTGGCTAGAGCAGCTCATTCCCAGAAGCAGTTACTGCAGGACCAGGTAGAGAGGAGGCTTGGGGGTTCGCAGCCCAGGAGGGTACAGAAGATCTGGGGGTAAGACCTGGCCTGATCGAATCTGACCTTTTTATTTGTTGGCCATAGCTGTGGAAAAGTTACTTGACTTCCTGGAGCCCCAGTTTCCACATCTGTCAAAGTGGGCTGATGATGTCCTCCTTCTCCTGTCACAGTGCTTCATCACGGATGGTTGTCACCGGTGGGACATCACAGGTCTGGGAAGGGCTGGCTCCTGGTCTGGAGTAACACTAATCTCCTAGGAATGGAATTCAGCCTCTCACCCTGGCAGGAGTGTCTCAGACAGCCCCCAGTGGGTGTAGCGCAGGTCTGCTGGGGTGACAGCTATGCACTGTCTCCAGGGAAGACAGTGAGCCAAGGAGAAGCATGCTGTACAGAAGAACCTGGCGTACAGCTAAAGTCTGGGTTACTCGTGTGTTCTTGGAAAATCCCTTTCAATTCTCCAAAGCTTGCTGTGTTCATTAGTAACAGAGACTTTCGACCTCAGAAGGGAGATGAGGGTTTGAGGAAGTGTGTGGAAGGCCTGTTCTACGATCTAATACATAATCAGGGCTTCATAAATGTGAGGTTAAAGTAAAAGTACTATTGCCAAGTGGTTTCAAGAAGCGCTTGTTAAACAGCTCTTGCACACTCAAAGCTGCAGGTAGGTTATGGGGGTCACTCAGTGTAGGTGTTCTTATGCTATGAATTCTGTAGACTGGAAGTTGAATGAAGCAAAAGGCCAGCTGGGGGTGGGGGGAGGTCCCAGCCTGGCTCCAGGCTTACAGAGGTCCCTTCTCTCTTGTGGAGCACATCACCTCCTGTTGCAAGTTGAGCGCTGGGGTCACAAATGTGTGCCACTGTGCCTGGCTCTGACAAGATGTTGGAAAGCCTGGCGCCTCAGGTCCTTTCGCCCCATTGCAGAGATGGACTGGAGGCGCCTGTGTATTGCTGAAGCCCCCCAGGGCAGGGCATGCGCTGCGCCATGAAGGCGGGTCGCACATCTGCGTGGAGGCTCCATCCTAGCAGCCTGGGGGCTCAGATTTTGAAGAATAAGTTTCTTTTATTATAAAAGTAGTTTATTCTCATTGTTGAAAATTTGAGGAAAGAATAAAAAACAATAAGAAGGAAAGTACCTGCTATCATGCAGGATATTTGATATATTTTCTGTCTTTCAGCATGAAAAAATATTTTCAAGAATGTGGGTTGAAAACTCTGGAAGACTGAGGCAGGAAGATCATAAGTTCAAGTCAAATTTGGTCAACTTAGAAAGACTTTGTCCCCAAATAACACATCAAAAAGTCTGGGGAGGCAGTGCAGTCCCTAGTAAAAAAAAAAAGGAAAAGGTCAGAATTTTTCACTTAGTACTGTATTCCTAACCTTTCTTAATACCTTCACATATTCTCCATAGTAGTGTCTTTTTGCAGACTGCATAATATTCCATCACAGAATGGTTCAAACTGAATGAGCTACTTGAATATTCTTGGGCCTTTAGCAATAACTTTAAAAAGATGACCATTACCAGTTGGGACATAGTTCCTGTACATCCTTGAGTGTTGCAGATTAGTATTCCATTGTTGAAAGTTTAGCGTCATAGAGGAGGCACTGACTGGTTGACCAGAAGACCTCCCAACTCCAAGGCCTCTTTTTGACCCTCAGCTGGCAGGGAGCCAGGACATAGGAGTGTGGTGGGCGCCTGCCACTGGCATCTGGCAGCTAATTAGCCACTCCTGTGTCACTGCTGTCATCCATATCAATTTTAAGCTTTGCTGGAGTTGAAGCAGTAGCAAAGAAAAGCTGATAATTCAACATTTTAACAAACAGGAGACATTGCAGGCCAGCTTGACTTCTTTGACAGTTTTCCAGCTGTACAATGATGGGTGACTTTTTTTTTTTTTTTTAATGAACATTACGGAGAATGCAGGAAATCTATAGTCTCTGGAGTCCTGTGGATCCAGCCCACAGACAGTGCAGTCTCCCCAAGGACCAGATGGCTCAGGAGGTCATCCTGGCCAAAACCAGGAAGGCTTCATTGGACAGGTTTCAAGTCTTAGGTCAAATAGGAGAAGCTTAAAGGAGACAAGCTAGCATCTGGGCTCTTTCCCTTCACCTCTCCCTCCAAAAATCATGGAAATAGACGTGGCTTGTGATTTGTGCCAAAATAAATAAATGAGATCAGCAATGTACAGCTGATCCCAAACCCTTTCTGGGGGTAGGCATGATGCTCCCCAGGTGCCTTCAGATCCCTTGGAGGAGAACACCATTGTCCCCTGTGGCTGGGAAACACTGTGTGCTGTCCCCAGGGAGGGTCTTCTTAGCCTGAAGCAGCCTGAGTGCCCCTGAACTCAAGGCCTGCTCTCTCCAGCCTGACTAGGTGTGGGAATGAGATGGTAGCCAGGCAGTGGGCAGTGTTTCTAAAAACTGGAGTCTTCTTGCAGGCTGGGACTACATTCCTTTTGTCCTAGAGACAGCCCTGTATGAGTGCACTCAGTAACCAGTGCAGACTTCTCTGCACTGATCTGTAGAGGAGAGAAGGAAAACTGACACCCCTCCAGTGCCAGGGATGCAGGGATAGGACCCAGGTCTCCAGCTTGCTAGACAAGTGCTTCATCACAGAGCCCCTCCCAGCCCCCAGCCTAGGCCGGCGAGGTCTAGAGACCCTGCCTGTTGATGAGCACCTCCTACGGTGTAGAAAGTCGGAGTTTGCATGTTATCCAGATAGACGCTTCTAGGAGCCCTCCGTGTACCCTATGGCACCTAGTGTGCTGTTGGGTGTCTAGCAGACACTCAAGAAATGAGAAGCAGTGGAAATTGTGAAAGAATGAGTTACTTCATTAGTTTTTCCTGGTGTCCCCTGTGCTAGCTTGTGCCTGGCGCAGAGTGGTGTTCAACAGCTGTATTGAAGAAATGAATGGTGAGATCGATAGACACCAGAGAGAGGCGTTTTCACTCTGCCCACCTCTGAGTGCCTTCTCCGACCCATCTACAGGCCCATGTCTCTCTGAGCTGCCCCAGCTACACTAGAGGTCTCGTTTCCTGGGAACCATACTCTATCTTTAAAACACCTTGTCTTTTAAAAATTTTTATTGATACATGATATTCATACACCTTTATGGGCTATAAGATGATAATTTCATATGGGTAGATACTGAGAAATGACGACTTCAGGGTAATGAGCATTTCCATCTTCTCAAACATTATGCATTTCTATACGTTGGGAACTCTTTTGCTCTTCTAGGTTATTTTGATATATATACATATTATTCTAAACATAGTTACCCAACTATGCTGTAGAAAACTAGAAACTAATTCTTGCCCTGAAGCAAATCTAACCATGCTTTGGTCCCTAGTTATAAGCAGTCAGCTCTGTTTAGGGCTACACCACATGTTTCTCTTTGAAGAGCAGGCCAGGGCCTGTGGGCAGTGCTCTGGGCTGGGGCTCAGAGGCCCGAGCTTTAAACTTCGGCACGGGCCACTCACTCCTCTGAGCCTCCACCTATAGTGACTGTGATGTTGGAACAGAGGCAAGGGCTGCTGTGAGGATGTTCAAGAACAAATATAGGAGACTGCCTTCTATACTATAAGGGTCATGCAGAAACCACACACCCCAATCAACAGCTTCGCTGAGGACAGGGGCTGTTTCTGAGGTGTTCAGGACCAAGCACAAGAACCACGCAGCAAGGGCTTGGAGGTGCTGCCTGTGTCTCGCTGCCACCTCTGCTCAGGTCTGTGTTCCTGGGGCTATCTCTGGGCTTCCAGTGCCACATCCCAAGACCCAACCAGATGCTGTGCTGTGACAGACAGCGTGAAACAGTCATGGTGGCCAGTGTGACCTAGCTAGGAGCTGTAGTAGCACTTTCCTTGTCCTAGCTCCTTTGATTTCTGTAACAGTCCCATGAGGTCCATACTAATATTATCCCATCCAACACAAGAGGCCACTGGGTACAGGGGGCAGAGTGATGGGCCTGAGGTCACACAGCTCCGAGCGGGTATGTGAGGCTCTGGGCCCAGCAGACTGGCTAAGAGCTCAAGCTCCTGCAGAACATAGGCCAACAAGTTCTGTTAGCCATGCCAGGTGGGGCTGCTGTGAAGGGGCGTGCAGCTGCCCCTCCCTTCCTATCAGAAGGACCCTCAGGGCCTGTGCTCACCCACAGCCCCTCCCTGTTCCTTGCTCCTCTCCTTCCCCCAGCAGCTCTGATGCTGCTTTTGCCTCTCTCCTGCCCTTGGCCTATGCCAGGAGTTGCCACCAGCTGCCAGGACTTTCTAATTCTTTCCTAAAAGAATTCTGCATTGTCAGAGATGGACGGGACTTGGAAATCCTCTGCTTCTGGTTTGTTAAGAGAAAACAGAGACCTGAGCTGGCATCATACGGCTGCTCAAACCAAATAATAGTAGCATAAAAAAGAATTATGTTCTCATGACTTATGAGCGCGGAGGCAAAAATTCTAAATAACATATCAGCACACGGAATCCAGCCAGGTATAGCAAATATAATACATCATACCTGGGCAGGTTTCATCCCGAAAATGCAAGAATGATCTAATCAAAAACAGGCTCTGAGGGGCAGCTCTGGAGACAGCGCTGACTAGACACAGTACAGTAAGTCTCCTGCTGCCAGGAGGGGTTGGGGACAGTCCTTCCTCTGTCCCTGCTCAGGTGAAAGTGAGATGCTCCTTTCCTGGCCTTCCCTAATTCTTTTTCCATTTCTCCTGCAGGATTCCATGTTTTCGTTGGCCCTGAAATGCCTTATCAGTCTGTCCACCATCATCCTGCTGGGCTTGATCATCGCTTATCACACACGTGAAGTCCAGGTAGGTGCCTGCTCTCCCCTCACACAGTGCCCATTAGTTTGACCTTGCTCTGGGTCAAGTGTCCCCCTGTCTCCAAGCAGCAATTTGGGTGATTTTTACAAGATGCTGCTTAACATCTTGGTTGTTCTCTTCTGGTTTGGACCCTCCTGGGGGAGAGCATTGCAGGGCATTATCTTCATCCAGGGGTCTAGGCAGCAGACACGAGGCTGTACTGCTCCACATCCTCACTAGCACCATGGGCTGTGGGAACCTCTTTTCTGACTTTCAGGCACTGAATCAGTCCCTGCAGTGAGGCAGGTGTGCGTCGAGCTTCCCCTGCACATGCACACACATGCACACATGCTTCACTGAATACCAACAGGAGCCTATGCGTGGGCTCCATCCCCAAGTATACCAGCCTGGGAGGTCCCATCTTCTGGATGACTCCATCCAGAAGTCTGATGTGGTAGAAGAGGTTTCTGTTCTTGCTGCAAGAGTGACGCAGTACCTAGGAAACCACTGGCTGGGCCCCTGGATGCATTTCCAGCTTGGCTGATGGACGCAGATGGTTCGACCTGGGCTAGGAGGGTCAGCCAGGAACGGGCAACCCAGAGGCGTCCTATGCCAGTGAGCTCATTACCCAGCCCTGCAGCTGATCATCTCAGCTATGGACCTGGTAGCCCAAGGTATTCAGATGTTTTTCCTCATGTACATATGATTCTGGAACCCATCCCAGTCCTTTGGCTGGAGGAACATAGATAGATTCACATCTGGGTAGTAGGCAAGAGGTTGATGAAGACCAGAATTCACAGGCAGCAAAGCTGGAGTTGATCTTGGCTGTGACCTCTTCTCTCTGTATGTCTTCGGGCAGCCTTATGACCTTTGCCAGGTTTCTCTCTCCTCATCTGGAACATGGGGGCTTTATTCCAACTTTGCTGGGCTGCTGTGAGGGTGGAATGAGGAGCGGGTAGGACAGTGCACTGTGCTACTATTCAATAGTACTGTACAAGTCCAGACCTTTTCATTGGCTCCATAGCCAGAGCTGCATGAGACCGCACAGTCCTCCTGCCTTAGCCTCCCAAGTGCTTGGATTATAGGCGTGCGCCACCAGGCCTAGCCAAATCCAGGTCCTTTAGTGCCTCAGTGTCTTAGGGTTACAGCAGTGGTACTGATATTGCGCAGAAGCCTTCTGGTCCTAAAGAGGGGTTCTGCTTTCCTGTCAAGTGTCAGGCTGTAGCAGCTGGACAGGATGTAGAGGCTTGGAGGCTGGGCCACCTTGGCAGGCTCCAGTCTGGGACAGCCAGAGGACGCTAATCCAGATGCTCCACTCTCTGGCCTCTGGAACCATGGGTGCTTGGACCAAGGCTGTACAGAAGGCTGAGAGTCCAGATGCTGCCAGACAGCTTGCTTCCTGGAGCCTGGACTGGACAGAGCTGGTGGACAGATGAGGAGAACAGGTCAAGGAATCAGGACAAGAGAGGTGTTGCCAGTCTAGTCTCCAGGCCTGAGATCCAGGTGCTCCTTCAACCTCTGGCAGTTCTCATCTGTAGGGGTTCTATGTTATTATGTCATCCTGACCTATGAAGGAAGGTGTCTCAGTGGCCAAAGAGAGTGGAGAATGATCAAACTCAGCTCCATGCAGGCTGAAGGGAGGCTCCAGTTCCCTGCCTTGGATCTGTCGGGCTTCAGGACTTCTTTGTTCTTCTCCAGGCCTGGGGAGGGGCAGATTTGGGTGTTTCTGCCACTGATTTTTTTGGGGTGCTTGTTCTGCTGCAGGGCCTGCAGCCCTCACACCTGACTTAGCCAGGCTGCACTCTGGCCTCAGCTCTGGCCTGGAGCTGGGCACCTTGGTCCCACCCTCTGCTTGGGTCCAGTCCCTGTTTCAGCCCCGCCCCCCCGCAGCAGACCACACCCTCTCTAGATCACTCATCTCAGCCCTGCACTCACAGTGTGAATTCTGACTCAAGACACTTCTGTCTATGGTCTCTGGCCCCATAGCAAATTCCCAGAGCCTCAGTTTCCCCACTTGCGCTATGGGAGTCACATCACTTACTTTGTTGGAACTCTCCAGGGTGTTGGAAACAGGGCAGAGTACAGTGGGATTCATGAAGTAGAAATTTTGATCCTTTTCTGATCACCTCTTCTAGTGGGCCTTAGCACATGCCTCTTGGGCCAAATGGTCACTGTCACAACTGCCCAGTCCTGGCAAGCAGCTGGCTTCCTCCCTGTTCTGGCTGGCCCTGTCAACACTCTGGTCCCGTAGCTCCTGTGACCTTGTCCCCTACCATTCCCGTACCAGCCATCATGTGAGAATACTCATCAGCCCCTGGGCCTCCACTTTCCTGTCACATTCTCTCTGTAGCTGGTGGCCTTCTCCTGTGGGGGGCAATGAATGGCTTGGACCAGACGGCAATTGGAGGAGGGTTTGCTCCTGGGATGTACCCCACTAGCCAGATTATAGTTTTCAGTGTGTCTCTCCCCTGCCTCGGGACAATAATGTCGTTAATCTTTGTGTTTCCAGAGACCCGCAGTGTCTGACAAGGAGCAGATGCTTACAGTGCATTTTTGAGTGAAAGGGTGTTGGATTCAAGACATCTGGTTGGGGCTGAGTGTGCGCTCAGTGGTAGAGCATTTGCCTAGCATGTGCGAGGCCTGGGGTTTGTGCAAAATGCATGAAGAAAAGAGACAGGCAGGCAGACATCTGGTTTCTAGTTTGTGATCTTGGGCCTCAGTTTCCTTATCTGTTAGTTTGGGGTCCCAAGCCTCCTCACTTAGGGGTGGTAGCTCAGCAGCTGGAGGCCTGTTTCCTGAGTAGAAGGAGGTGCTATCCTGAGTGTGACCCACAGCTGCTGAGCTTTAGGGCTTGGAAACACCCTCCTCAGGAGAGGCCAGCCACTGTGGCCGCTGCTGGGAGGGGTGGTGGGGGCTGGCTGTGGTTGTCCCATCTCCTGGGGGTGATGTTGGGGGATTTTGTTAAGAATATACTCACTACTTTTCCCATCCAGAATAGTTGTTGGTCACTCAACTAAATTTTAGTGGGGACCAGATGACCATTCCGTGTCCTCTGTCCCTGCCCCAGATGATCATAGGCAGGCCTAAGGCCTGGCACAGCACACCCTCGACTGAATTCCTGTTTCTTAGTTTAGATGACTGTGTTCTGGAGGAAGAGAGCTCTGGAAAGCTGTTGGGTAGCTCTCAGCCACACTCTCAGAGCTGCTGAGGCTCAGGGCTGGAAGGCTGTCACATGTGACTTATTTTGCTCTCCCACTGTCCTAGTCATCCCGTGCTGCTGCTGTGATGCAATAACTGAGACTAGAAATTCATTTCTGTCAGTTCTAGAGACTGGGAAGTCCAAGATCAAGGTGCCAGTAGGTTTGGTTGTCCTGCTCTCTGCTTTTAAGATGGGACCTCGAAAGAGGACGGCTATGCCCTTAAGGAGACTGAATGTTTGTGAAACCTCTTTGAGAAGAACCTTAGTTCCATTCATAAGGGAGGAGGCCCCATGACCAGTGGCTCTATTTGTCCTGTCCCACTGGCAATACTTAAATCTTGGAGGGAACATACTCCAAACACCACACCCACACCCAACCCTGGTAAGACTGCGTTTGGCTCTGTGAGCACTGCGTGACAGGAAGTTGACTGCCCCTTGGGGAGGCTCTCCCACTAATGGGCAGCAAGCATCTTTAGAAAGTCTGCCTTTGGGCTTGAGGGGAGATGGCTCCCTGGAACTCTCTCCCAGCACTAGTTCTGCCTGTGGAGCAGAGAAAGCAAGCACTTGTGGTCACCTCTGTCATTTGAAGAGGGTCAGCTCATCTGTTATGGTGTAGGCCTTGATGTTCCACTAAAGCTTCATGTGACCACAGCTGGGACCATTGGAAGGTAACTGGTATTGTGGTTACTCACTGATAGGAGGTGGGGCCTGGTCAGAAGAGGCCATGGGTGTGGACTGGAAGGTTATATCTGCTTTCCCGCCTCCTCCTTGCTTCTCTTTACTTCCTGTCCACCATGCCATGAGTGATCTATTGTCCCCTTCCAGGCTCTCTGCTGTGCCATCCTACCATGAAGCCAGCTGGTTCTGGACTAAAATGTGGCCAGAACCACCTTCTCCTCCTTTAAGTTGTGGGTGTCTGGTATTGTGTGTCAGCAGAGAGAAGGTGACTAAGACATTCTCCTTCCCTGCTCCCGTCTTCTCACGGTGTCTTGGAGCACAGCTTTCAAAGACTGTGTCCTGGTAAGAGATGAAACACAAAAGCAACTCAATTTACTTATTTACTAAAACTGAAAATCGTGTCTTCCCTTGGAGAGTCTGTTCACTCCTACAGTTTTGCTGTCACCAACAAGTCCCAGATCAGCGGTGCCAGCCTCTTCTGCCTAAGACACAGACTCATGTTTCAGATGCCATTGGCACAGCCCTGGCGGAACCCATAGAGCTCTACTGCTTTACTGCTCCCCTCTGCTCCCGCTCAATGACCAGCCAGTCCACCCAGTCCAGTCCTTGCTTCAGCGTGTATTTAATGAGGCTGTACTTTGTGTGGAGCCTGAGGACAGGTGCCCAGCTCTCTAGGCCAGAAACTCTGAAATAACTCTTGCTTCTTCAGGGGGCCACCAACCTGGAGTGACCTTGGAGGCTCTAATTGGTGTCGCTGGTGCCATCTGAGAAGGCAGGCTGGGGAGTGGCTGCCAGTGCTCTTCAGAGCAGCCCCCTTGGTGCGTATCGCGTGCTTGGTTCCACCTTGGTGTATGTGATGGCATTTAGAGAGTACTTAAATCATCTTAGCTATCTGCTTCCTGTAAAATGGGACTAACCTACCACAAAGGGTTGCTGCACAAATTGAATCAGAGAATCAGTGAAGAATGCCTTGGCTTAGATGAGACCATGGCTGCCTGGTGGAGGTCTCAAAATAAACAAAGGCTCTGGCATGGGAAATTGCAGAGTGCATTTGGTATTCTTTAAGACGAGGTCCTGGACAGTAGGGTGGAGTTACTCTGGAGGGTGGGTGGCCTGCTGGTGGCTTGTTCAC